AATAGCGACGACACGTCGCCGGTAATAAGTCGCCGCTACTGCTTCCTCGCTATTGATCAACTTGTCACTCCTAAAGAGAATTGTCGCCGCTAATGAGTGTCGTCGCTAAAGAGTGTCGTTGCCGCTAATGATATAGTCGCAGGTAATGATGAAGTCATCGGTAATAGCGTCGACGGTAATAACAATTTTCATTTTTTATTTCTTTTTTAATCAACGATTTTGGTTGTCGGTAATAGTGTTGGCGGTAATAGTATCGCCGATAATTACATAACAACATTCAATTAAATATCAAAAATAATAGTGTCGCCGGTAATTACAAAACAAACATCCGATTAAATATCAAAAGTAATAGTGTGTTGCCCGTAATTACATAACAACATCTGATTAAATATCAAAAGTGATAGTGTCGTCGGTAATAATGACGCCGGTAATTACAGAAAACAACCAAAAGGTTTACAATCTAACAAGTAGCAAAGCGTGACAACAAGTGTAATATTCAAACAAAACTCCTCCCTACATACCATTATCTTCGTTCCCATCGTTTCCTCGATTATTCAGTGATTGAAAAAACGAATAAAGTCCATCCCTACATCCCGCGTCGTTGAGTATTGCACGAAGATTTTCCAACTACATAATAAATAAAAACATATTTAAACTTATAAGTTAAATTATCAAACACAAACAAAAACTATTAAAGTACATTGCTATTTTTAAATTAAGACAAAAAGCCAAAGTACATTGGTATTTCTTGCACTTGGGACAAAAACTCAATTACCAAAGATTTTAGCAAATAATCATCACAAAACCAAAATTACAAAATCAACATGCATTTTATGATGCCAAAGTAGATTGCTAATTTTAAACAAAGACAAAAAACCAAAGTACATTGCTATTTCTTACACTTGAGAAAAAAACCCAATTACCAATGCTTTTAGCAAATATTCACCACAAAAAACCAAAGTAGATTGTTTTACCTGTGATGGTTGCGATGGCTGTGAAATCGGCGGGAGGGCAGAAGGTTTACGGCCGATGCCTCTGATATGGCCACGTCGCTCTCCTAATACTTTCTCAAAAGCAGCTCTTTCTTGAGCGGGTGTTAACTCACTTTCACCTTGGTTTTGTTCTAAGAGCTCTTCGACTAACCGATTCTGTAATTCCCAAAAGTGAGTAACAATTAAGTATAAATAAACACTTAATTATATGATAAAACTATAATTAAATACTTACATATTATTGTTCCACCTCGGTAGTAACAAATACACCATCCCTATCAATATGAGCCTTGCGAAACGTTTCCACTGTCGTAAGGTTCTGTTTAACATTAAAAAATTAGATTATATTTTAAATAAATAATTACATGTATCGTACGTTACCTTCTTATAGCAAGTACTGTTATACGAGCTCGACCCCCCACGATTCACGTTCGTTTGCATTTGACGAATTTTTTTTGTTCTTAAGCATGAAAATATAACAATTTCTAACTTTTGTTTTAGTTAAAATTTGTACTTAATCGTAAGAAACTAACTTTCTAGTATTCGCATATAAGTTTTGGAACTTATTGGTTAATATATAAGTTTTGGAACTTATTGGTTAATTTAGGGTTAGTTTGGGAACAAACTAGAAACTTTCTAGTATTTGTATATAAGTTTTTAACCAATTTTATAACATTTTTTTTGTTTTTTTTCAATGATAACAATAATTTGTTATTTTTTGTTTTCAAATTATAGCATCCTACTTATACCAAAACCACATACTTTCACATAATACATAAGAGCATCAAATACAAATACTTTCATATACATATACCACATATACACCAAATACAAATACATTCACATACACACATAATAACATCCTACTTAGACCAACTACACGTACTTTCACATATATAGATAATAACATCTTATTTATACCAAATACACAAATTTCACATTTATATACCACATATACAACAAACATACATACATTCACATACACACATAATAACATCCTACTTATACCAAATACACATAATTTCACATAATAACATCATACTTCTACCAAATACTCATATACCACATATACATCAAACACACATACATTGACATATATACACCAAATTTACATAGATTCACATACAAATATCAAATATACATACATATGACAATTTTCAAATAATTGATACAACTACACATATTTTGCAATTAAACTAAAATTTCACAATAAATAGAAGTAAATAGAACCTTGGTGGCGGAAATCAATGAAAATGGTCTAGTGGTGGCGGTAGTCGCGGGTGGTGGTCGGGAACGTAGCAACACAATCAACAAAACTGAAATTGACAATTTTTGCAATTAACCACTCCAATAAGCTTAACATCGATGTTACAAGAGAAAAGGGACCGAAAATTGACCTAGAAATAGCTTGGTGTCGCCGGAAAAAGCTTGGTCCTCACCGGAAAATCTTTCTCCACCGATGGTATCTTCTTTGTGGACAATTTCACACACCCAAAATTGATAAATGTCACTACCACAATAATCGACGAAGTAAGTACCAGACGAGAGAAGACAAACATGCGAAGGGAGTGAAACAGAAGAGCAAAAGGAAAAAGATCGAGTTTTTTGGGGTTAACTCCGTCTGCCTTTAGCGGCGACAACTATCAATAGTGGCGACGATCAGGAGGGAATTATTGTCGTGTCATTTTTTTTATCTTTAGCGGCGAATATTTTGGATCTTCAGCGGCGACAAAAGTCGTCAGTATTTCATTTATGTGTTCCACGAGCACCCTAACCGTTGGATTAGAACAACGATCAGACGATTCGTGTTTACCAGAACGTCAAAGAGCGGATCGGTGTCATTCAGCCTTTAGCGGCGAAACCAATAGCGGCGACATAGGCCTTTAGCGGCGACTATTTAATTTGTCGCCGCTAAAGCTCAATGTCGCCGCTATTGATATCGCTGCTAAAGGCTTTATTTCTTGTAGTGAAATATTCTAGAAATATATTTTTTAGGGTAAAAAATAAGATAAAAAATAAAATAAGGTTGAAAATGAAACACTATTCATCTCAATTTTTACTCAATTTATAATTTTTACTCAATTATAAGTAAATAGAGTAAAAAAATAAGATGGACTAGGTAAATTTAGTAAAAAAATAAGATGGACCGGAGATGGTGTTAAACTATAGGGAAATTGTCAGAAAAGTCCTACTATTTTTAGGAAAGTTACATTTTAGTCTCAAGATTTTTTTTTTTAACAAAAAAGTCATTTTTTTTCTTTTAACAGGAAATGACATATTATCGTGTTTTTAAAAATAATCGGGACTTTAATGTTCAAAAAAAAAATCTTAGGACTAAAATGTAACTTTCCTGAAAATATTAGGACTTTTCTCACAATTTCCCCAAACCATATATTTATTTATTTTTTCTTTTCTCAGTGCGTCGACCCAAAAATCACTATTGAGATAGTCTAACCCCACCCACTTGGTATTTTAAATTCTTTAATGGCCTACAGGCCTAGGCTTGTAGCATACTCTTCTTGAATTTTGTTCGTGTCAATCTTTCTATTTATATCTCAGTTCATAATGAAACACAAATTCATCTTCTAACCAAAACAGGAAAACATAAACATGGCTACACAATTCTTTACTCACTCAATCTCTAATTCAAATGTTTTTTCATGGAGCAATTCTCACAATCCATGGCGGTTGGTGAGTTCTTCACCAAGCAAATTAATCTCCAGGTATTGCAGGTTCACGTCTCTACCTGTTTTGCCACGTGCCATCATTGCAACCCCTTCATCCCAAGCCAACGATTCTTTTCTCGTGAATTTTGGCCAACCCACGGTATATAACTTTTTAGATGTAATATTTTTTTCATGGAAGCAACATGGAAATGAGAAAGAATTCATTATGATCGTGTTATCTATGGTTGATATAGGTAATCTCTTCAGACGTACATGGTAGCAATAGAATCGCAGAACTAAAGGAAAAGATAAGAGCTTTAATGACAGGTTCAAACCCAATCATAACAATGGAGTTAGTTGACAAAATTCAAAGATTGGGGTTAGGGTGCACTTTTGAAGAAGATATTAATAAAATAATGAAATATCTTGTTCAAGGTCATCCAAATGACGATTTATATACAGTGGCACTTCGTTTTCGCCTTCTTCGCCACAATGGTCTCCATGTTAATCCTGGTATATATATCATCGATCAGTACTCTTTTAAAGTTTAACACACATTTTTAAGCTAAAACTTACTTTTATTGGACTGTGAAATAGATGTTTTTGGATCATTCATGGATGCAAAGGGTAAATTCAAAGAGTCATTGAGTGAAGATATAAAGGCATTGCTGAGTTTATATGAAGCTTCATACATGGGTGCAGATGGAGAAGATATTCTATCAGAGGCCAGGGAATTTACAACAAGGCACATCAAGAAATCAGTATTCAAATTAACCCCCTTACTACGTAAAAAAGTTCTTCAAAGTTTAAAGCTACCAAGACATCTAAGAATGGAAAGATTAGAAGCAAGAAAGTATATTGAAGAATATGGCAATGAACAAGATCACATTCCATTTTTGCTAGAGCTTGCAAAGTTGGAATACAATGAAATCCAAATACTTCACCAAATGGAGATCTCTGAGATAACAAGGTGAAGTTTGTTCTGATTTGCTTTGAAATAATTTTTTTGCCCCAATTGTTGCTAATCGGTCGCTAAAGATAAGTATTTTGCTAGACTAATTCTTGACAAAATTATTAATAAAGTACAATTAACAAATGAGTATTAGGATCATATTTGATAAATATTGTTAGAATATACCATAATGATTATGGATCATCGGATTAAAAAAAGTCAGCAGTTGTAGTGAGAATAACAATCAAATCTTATCCATAAATAAATATGTTAGGAATGTTGTTAAACTCATAAGAACCGTTGATATTAATTTTTCAATGCTTTAGAATTTTTCCAAGTCCTTCTAACAATCTCACAATACTTATAATTCTTATATTAATGTATAAAAATTACATTATTTACTTATAAGCATTATAGACCACAAAATAATATAATTTATATTATTTTTTGCAGATTTACATATATAACTCAAAAAGATAAAATAAAACCCATATATAATTTCTAATTTTTGAATTTGATTTCAGGTGGTGGAAGCATTTGGGTCTAACGGGTAAACTTCCTTTTGCCCGAGATCGGCCTCTTGAGTGTTTTCTATGGACTGTTGGGCTCTTGCCTGAGCGAAAATACTCCGCCAAGAGAATCGAAGCGGCTAAAACCATTTCCATTTTGTTGGTAATTGATGATATATTCGACACTTATGGCTCGTATTATGATCTTGTACTTTTCACAAAAGCAATTCAAAGGTTTGGCTAATAATCCTTATAACTTCATTTAGAATTTATATATGTTGATGAGATATTAAACAAAGTGGCTTCGTTGTGTGTTAGATGGGACATGCAAGAAATAGAACAACTACCTGAGTACATGAAGATATGCTACATGGCATTGTATAATACTACCAACGAGATTTGTTATGAAATCCTTAAAGAACATGGATTGAATGTTCTTCCATTCCTGCGCAAGACGGTATAACTAGTAGTTATATGATTAATAAAGCATGTTAGAGTATGACTATTTTATGATTGGATTAAGATAGATCTTTGATTTGATTAAGAACTTAATGAAGAAATTACAAAGAAGTTTGAAAAGATTGAGAGTTTAGTCTCTAATGTTTTTTGGAGATAACAACATATTATTGATAAATGTTTCATATATTTTATTGTAGTGGATTGAGATGGTTGAGGCGTTTATGGTGGAAGCTGAATGGGTAAAAAGAGGAACTAAACCAAATCTGAAAGACTACATAGAGAATGGGGTTAAAACAGCAGGGACATACATGGCATTGGTGCATCTATTCTTTCTCATTGGAGAAGGTGTTACTACAGAAAATATGAGAACTCTTACTGATTCATACCCTAGTTTCTTCTCGATATCGGGAACAATTCTTCGTCTTTGGGATGATCTGGGAACTTCAAAGGTACTCTTTAAAAGTTTAGCCAGTTACTTCTATATTGATTGAACTATTATATTTATATATTTGCAAAAGTTTTAAAAATCATTATTAATATATTTATTATTTTTTACTATTGACATCATTATCACCATTATAATATTAATTGTGTTGTTGCAATTATTATTATTATTATTATTATTATTATTATTATTATTATTATTATTATTATTATTATTACCGTTCAAGTCAGTAAAAAGTTGATGGTTAAAATTACCTTCTGAACGAAATATATAGATTTATGAATAAAACATGTAGTTTGTTTGTAAGTCATTCTAAAAAAATTGTCATTACTAGTTTGTAAGTCATTCTAAAAAAATTATCATTACTATCATCATCATCATCATTATGATTTTGTGTAATAAACATTCATAAAATATAATAAGCGGTAAAATCTAAATAAATAAATAAATACTTTGTGTTTTACTGTATTATATTTTATATTGTTATTAAAACAAGATATAAAAAATGTCATTTTTCAACTGTACAAATGTATAATAATCTCACCATTATTGAAAATAGTTAAGTAAATAGTGCAAATATTTTTTGTGCTTTCCCTTTATACATGATATTTAATTTAAACTATAAATGCAAAAATTCACCCTATGAAGTTTCTTATACTTTATGTGGAAATATGTAGGAGGAACAAGAAAGAGGGGATGTAGCATCAAGCATACAATTGTTGATGAAAGAGAAGAATATTACATGTGAAGAAGAAGGAAGGAAACAAATCTTACGGTTTATCGACTCATCATGGAAAGAACTTAACAAAACACTAGTTGTACCAAACAGATTGCCCATTTCGATCATTAGAATTGCCCTAAATATGGCAAGAGCTTCTCAAGTTGTTTATCAACATGAAGAAAGTAGTTATTTCTCACGTGTAGATAATCATGTAAAATCTCTTTTTTTCGCTCCATTACAAATCTAGGATTGTAACTTGGAATTAATTATTTGGCTTATAATATAGAGGGAATTACTAATCTAGCCTAATTAAGTAATTACTTAACCATTTTTACCCAAAAATTAACAATTGTCCCAAAATAGTCCACGAAACCGTAGGTATTAGAGTGAGCTAGTGTTTCGTCAAATGATCTACTGTTTCGTGTTAAATATAATTTTTTTTTTTTTTCATTTTGAACATATAAAACCGTAGGTTATAATAAAACTCACGGTTTTCTCTCAACAAACTACAGTTTCCCAAACCGTAGCCTACAATTCTGGGTTAAGTCTACGGTTTTTTTTTTAGAATTATTTTGATAAAAAATATTGTTTGTAAAATGTAGAGTAGTTTTTTGACAATTATTTTGTAATTTTTTTTTTGTAAAATATAAAATAGTTTTTTAAAAATTATTTTGATAAAATTATTTTTTGCTAAAATGTAGATTATTTTTTTGAATTTGTTGACTACTTTTTTTTGGTAAATTTGACTACTTTTTGGGTAAATTTGACTACTTTTTTGTTAAATTTGATTACTTTCTTAGTAAATTTAACTACTTTTTTGTCAGAGTTGACTACTGTTTTGAACCTACTATATATGATAAGTATTTCATATTTGTGGAATTATTTCATATTTGGGAAGTTTTCTTCTCCAGCTTCTTTTTTCTCAAAATTAACATAATGAGTTGTAACAGGTATTTCGTATTGCTTATTACGGATGGAAGATGAGAGTTTGTTAATTACCAATTATCATATGTTTGGCCACTGGGATACAATCCGAGATTGTTTTATTTAGGTGTTGAATTTTACGAAACCCCCACGTTCACTGAATTTATTTATTTGATGAAGTGCAAGATGGGTCTTCCCAAAGAATCAAAAGTCAGTCTGGCTTATCAACATCCCAAACAACTCTATTATTGTGGTATTGTTGATGATCGTGATATTAGAAAGCTGGTCAAGGTAATAAATGTTGTTGGAGATAAATCTTGTCTGTCTATGTGGTGGTTGAAGAAGGCGTTTGGCATAACGAAGTGGCTGATAGAGGAAAGACATCTGCAGCTAATTTATCAAGCGGAAAAGAGAGCAACACCCCAATAGGTAATTTTAAAAGTCCAAGTAAAAGTCAATATCATAGTGTCGCTGAAAATGTTAACGCAGTGCCAGAACCGATTATGTATGTGACACCCGAGAATTATAAGTATATTGGTGATACTGATGTTGGTACATATGTTAATGATGTGGGTGCAAATCATTACTTTGACAAAAAAAAACAGTAGACGTGGTCAATAAGGTTGGTAATGAATCTGGAAAACAAGAAGTTCCATTTTTGCATGATGGTGAACTAAAAGGATACGATGAGTTTGCGGATTGTGACAAGTTGGATATATCCGGCCTACAGAGTGATTCTAACGGAGAAGAATTTGATGATGAACCTAAACTTATTTATTCAGATACCATGTTTCATGGTATGCCCCCATTTCCTTCATGTCTTGTAAACGATGATGTAAACATTCCATGTCAGAGGGTGGATATAAATGAAGAGATTAAGGTTCTAGGCATTTTTTATAACAAATAGTTGCTTAAGCTTACAATTGGAAAACAATGCATGGAACAAGGTAAACAGTATAAGACTACCAGGTCGAGCAAAGAAAGGTTCGAGGTGGTTTGTTTGGTAGAGAATTGTTCTTGGATGGTTACGGCAAGGGGAATCAAATCGACTACTGCTTTCCAAGTCACAAAAGTTGTTGACCAACACACATGTTGTGCAACAAACTTGGAGTCTAATCATCGACAATCAAATAAAAAGGTAATCGGCTACTTTATCGCTGAAGTATTGGCCGAAGATTATAATAGAGTTTATTGTAACACTCGCAGATTCGGGCTTGTCAATTAAGATATAATAAACGTTAAAAATGATTTTTTTTATAAAAGATTATCTTGGATAAATAATCTTAACCAAAGTAATAGTTATGGTCAATAATTGTAACCTATTTGATTTAATAAAGAAGAATTATGTGAATATTATGTGTTTCGTGATTATTATAATATAATAAAATAGGAAAAATCTGTCGAATCGTCTGTAAATCGTAAAAATAAGTTCGCCAAAACACACACACACACACACACACACACACACACACACACACACACACACACACACACACACATATATATATATATATATATATATATATATAAAGTACACATCGTCTCGATCCCGAAAATATAAATTTCATAGAAATCTGACTTCGTATGAATTAGATATGATTTTTATAAGATATAAAAATCAGCCGCGCACAACGAATGTACGACGTAAAAAGCTACAAAGATAATGATTGACTTTTAGCTAAAGCCACAAAAAAGAAAATCGTAGTATTCTTTAAAATATGGACAAAAAATCATTTTAGCAAAAATCATTTAATTTTATAAAAATATGGACAAAAAAATAAATTAAAAATTAGCCTACGGAGTCTAAACGAAAGTTGTAGATCTCATCGATAGCTACGAGTGGATATAAAGAACGTCAAAAACGGAGTTCATATGAACGAGTTATAATTTATAATAACATATTTACATATTAAAATAAAGTATAAATCATTTATACGTATACATATATATACATATGTATATATCATTAAAAATGTATCGACGATGTGGTCGTTATAAGACTAGTGTTGAGTACTATCGACATTAGTTTAGTACAAATATCGTTAAATCTATTTAAAATAGTATTATAAATGGGTGTTTAGTCGTTTAAATAACTATAAGGTTATTAAGTAACCATAGAGGGTAGTTTTTGAAAATTCAATTACTATAAATAAGAGCCTCTAGGCTCTCATATTTCTTGCACCATTCTCTTGATTCAAGAGTCTTTCTCTTCTTATCCCCCGAGCATTTCGGTCCCTCATGATTATACTTCTATTTCTGTAGTTTTAGTATAGTAAGGTGAGCGTTGAAGCGCTACAAGAATCTTTTTAGAAAGATTCAACGACGAAGTTCTGCCCCTGCAGAGCCCGACTCCTAGCTAAAACTCCATTGTAAGTAAGTTATGCTTACCCTACTTTAAGTATAACTTATGTTTAAGTTCATTATCGTTATTATGAACCTATAAACAATATATGTGCTAAGTATTATAAATTATACAAAGTGTTTTTATAATACCTTTTAACTGCTCACGATACGGGAATCTGGTTTGAAGGGCTGCATAGAGTTGTTGGATTTCAGAACAGCTTAAATGTCAAAATGGTCCTGCCCTCCGCTGGTTCATGTCTGGCCCTTGTCTGTACATAGTAGTTGAAAAGTATTATTTAACACTTATATAATACAAGAAAACCAATATTACTCGTAGACCTTGAGTTAGTAATAAATCTAGACTAATAATTAGTTGAAATAAATATTAGACTAAAATCTAGTAATAATGATACTAAGTTTCGTCGAAGGAAAAGAAAATTGTTAGAAGCGAAGCGCTGCTCGAATTACGAGTCAACACTTTAACTAGTGAGTGCATATTTACTTTCATCTTACACACACACACACACACACACATATATATATATATATATATATATATATATATATATATATATATATATATATAGATATATATATATATATATATATATTAAGTATTTAATATTAATACGTGCTATATGTGCTTATTATATGTGTTCCTGATATCTATGCTAGATGAACGATTTATACGTGTTTTACTTGATTTAAACTGTATATGTATTTTTATACCTATAAATATAATGGGTAAAGATGGGTAGATGAAAGATGAGATGAATGATGAGGGATGAAAGATGATATAAATGATGAGAGGTGAAAGATGATATAGATGATGTGAGGTGAAAGATGATGATAAGCCTTGACCTTAACAATGATCCAGTCATCTAGCATAGTATAGATGACGACCACAGACTATTCTAGACAGTCCAATGGAAAGCTAGCATGATCGCAACCTGTAGGTGTTTTTGAACTACGTGTTCACCAGATATACTTTAAAAACCCTAGCAGCTATGAACTTAGTGCCTTATGAATAAACGTTGGCAGCTATGAATTTAGTGCCCTATAGATGATCATTGGCAGCTATGGACTTAGTGTCTTACAAATGAACGCTGGCAGCTATGGATTTAGTGCCTAATAGATAACATCGGCAACTATGGACTTAGTGCATGTTAGATAAACCCTGGCAGCGATGGACTTCGTGCCTATTCCTTAGGACAATCCTTAGGAATAAATATGGATGAATAGATAATTCTTAGGGTAGATCCTTAAGAATAAAGACGATAATGCGAATAGGTAATTGGGTTAATTGTTCGACATGAAGTATGTGAAGAAACAAATTAACTATATTATTGTGGGTTGAAAACCATATGTACTCACCAGGTTTCCCAACCCGACTCACTCAGTTTATTTTTATCACATGTATTGATGTGAAGAAACATTACACTAAGAGATTAAAGGAGATGTAAATCATTAGTGTAAATGAATGTAAGGTTTGTTTATGCTTATGTTTCTGTATTGATGATGACATCCCAATGTTTTAATATAAATAAAATACATTTCTTCGGAAATGCTTTGATAATATATTTATCATGTTTTTCTGGGAATAACTTCCGCATTATTCTTCATCAAAATAGATACTCTGATTTTTAAATAAGCATAAATAAAAATTTTAAAATAACAGTGAATTTTGGGGATGTCACATTTATCGGGGTAATGAAATTGTGAGAGACATCAATTCAAAATTTCCAATCAATATCACATACCAACAGGCATGGCGGGCAAAACAATATGTGTTGTTGATGTTAAGAGGTACCAAAGAGGATTCATTCACCAAACTACCAGCGTATGTGCACAACTTGGTCAAGCATAATCCAGGAACTGTTACTCAAATAAGAACAGACGATGATGATCGGTTTGAGTTCGTGTATATCGCGGTGGGTTGCTCGGTAAGCAGTGATATTTTTTATAAAAAATATAACATATGAATCATAATTGGTATTTGCTAATGCAATTACAAATAATTGTAGGTACAAGCGTTCATCAAATATTGTAGGCCAACCCTAATAATTGATGCTGGTCACCTAAAGGGTTAATTCAAGGGTACGATGTTGTTTGCAGTGACAATGGACGGTCAAAACCAAATCATGCTTGTTACTTATGCCATATGCAAAAGTGTATGTACGGAGACATGGTCCTGGTTCCTTCGAAAACTACGCGAATGTATAGGCAACATGGAGGACCTTACGTTCATATCTGATAGGGCTCTATCCATAGCGACGTCAATTGCAAATATATTTCCTGACGCCTATCATGGAATATGTGGTATCCATTTGTATTTCAATATTTTAGCAAAATTTGGAAGCAGCGATACAATACACACATTATTTTGGGAGATATGCAAAGCCTATACTATTAGAAAATTCGATAATGGGATGAAAAAAAATATAAAGGTATATGTTGATGTTTGGGAATACCTACAAAACATCAATCCAAAAAGATGGGCCAAGGCATATTTTCCTGGAAATCGGTATTTTCTTATGACATCAAATAGTGCGGATTCGATAAATTTAATGTCAATATTTCCAAGAAAGATGCCAATATTGATGTTGATTGAGTGTTTTTGTGCAATAATGCAACAATGAAGTTTTCAGAAGCGTAATTTTGCAGGTACTAATATTTTATATATGAAATGTTATTTTACTACTCGTATGATATTATGAAATTATGTCTA